CATTGGACAAAGTTCCACACGAGAACGTTTTAAACAATCCCAAAGTTCCTGGAATTTGGGGAAAATTCGTTAGTTCAACTGGTGGAGGGGCAATAAACAAAAAAAATTTACCCAGGGTAGTAACTAGAGAACATTTATAAATGTCAGTTTTAATAATGATCATAAATGACTTGGACTAATTGTGATTTTTGTCGACCACTACCAAAATGCGTAGCTTGGCAACACTGTGGGGGTTTGTTTAACACAAAGGAAGCTTGGAATAGGATCCTGGAAAGATACTTGCATTCAATTAACTAATGAAACCGAACAGGTTTGCAGTATTGAAAGGCTCGAGTTCTCAATAGAGAGGTTCTGCAGTCTCAAAGTGAAGCGTGCAACTGCACTGTTGAGCTATATTTTTCACGTGCTCAGTGACCTATTTCAGTAAAACCTGTTAAAATTATTCTAAATTTGTGTTCTTATTATGCTCAGCCACAGCCTTACGGTTTTCTGTGCAGGCGCAGGAACAATTGAAAAATGCTGCATTCTCGCGCATTGTTATTCCTCATCATCTTAACGACACTTGATTAATTAAGCAAACGAGAATGGCACAACGTGAAAGAACAGGAACACAGTGAATAATTTACTAATAGGGCAGGGCTTTGAGCTAACTGTTCTACCCTGTTATATTGCTCGGATTCAATCCACAATTACTCACAAATTGCACTGAGCAAAGAGGTCAGTAACCACACTCATCAGATTTTTGTAATGCAAATCACAAGATTCAATGTAGAATAGGCTTCTTCAACCAAAACAGGGGACCATCACCCCTGAAGATGTGAACTGCCCAGTAATTGGGATAATTACATCACCATGATGCAATTATTCCTGCAGCTCAGTGGTTAGAGCACTCGTCTCTCAAGCGAGTGTCCCGGGTTTGATTCCCCGCATGACGAAATGGTGGGCAAGTTTCCTTACTCCACACACCTCTATTTAGCTAACAGTAAGTAGGAACCTGGTTGTTAGTCAATTGGCGGATCGCTTTTCCAGGGGGTAATAATTCCTTCAAAAATAATAAATAAAATTTATTATATAAATATATAAATAAATCAATCCACGACTGTTTGTGGGGCACTGCTGTGTGCAATTGGATACCACATTTCACTTGCAAAATATACAGTCAATTCATTTTACAGTATATTCTGTGAGGCACTTTGGGACGTCTCGAAGACATGATAAGGCGCTATATCAAATGCAAAGATTATTATTATTATTATGATCCGCCATACTATCTGAAAACAGTTTCAAAGAAGCTTTCCAATGGTGATTTTGTGGAACAGTGCAGCTCAAGTCAAGAACGTAAAATAACCAGTAGAAGATCTAAACAGTGAGTTTAAGAGGAATATCCCTATGCAGAGGGTGGTGAGAGTGTGGCACTCGCTGCTGGAAGCTATGGTTGAAGCCAAATGCATTAACTTGTTCATCAATAGAATTCATCAATAGAAAATTTGATGAATTCATGACGGACAAGGGAATAAAGGGGGAGAAGAGAGGGGAGCAGGAGAGGTAGAGTTCACGTGGAGTATCTAGTTGGACTGTAACATCCTAAGTAAATCAATGCGAACTCTTAACTATCATTTGTTATTATCCAAATGGAAAAATACACCACGTATTCCTGGGACTTCTTTCTGACGTGAAGGGTGCTATTCAAGTGTAAATTGTTATTGTTGTTGTTGGTGCAGTGATAATCCATTCCGAATTATCCAAAACCATAAATCATTTATTTCCGAATTAATACAGTATTCCCTTTCCAACTGTTGATCATTCAATTCTGACCATTTAGTTTCCAAGTGGTTCTAAATTATTTATTTTCTCTATTTTCCACCACAACACCCCAACCCCCCCACTCCCACCCACATCTAAGCAACCCTCTCTACCACCCGCCCAACATAAAGGTTGCCTTATCATTGCAGGTAATTAACGACAGGTAATTAACTGCAATGCTAGATTTCAGCACCAGCACATCAGCATTTCATGCGAAGTTCCAAAATGATGTCCATTAATCACCTCAGACCATTGCAATGATAGTATCAGCATCCCATACTACCTAGTGGCTTGCATTCATGGAATCATTTAGCAAGGTTTTCAGCTCCAATGCACATCAATCTTTTTTCTTTCCAATTGATGGGCATCCAAGTTGCTGGAAAAGCAATTTTACTTTACTGGAATGGCTAGGAGTACAAGCACTTAGCCAACCAATTCTTTGACCTGCTTTTTAAGTTTAACACAGGATATTTAATGGCTTATTGAACAGGGGGGGAGGGGGCAAAATGATGATTTTAACACTTGGTTTGCTATTGTTTTAATAGATCATAAACCAGGGCAAAGATCACCTAAATGTTAATCGATCACTACTTTATTTTTACAGTGACCGACTGTTCATTATGAATAGTTATGTAAGAATATGGTGGCTGGATGCTAACGCGTGATGATTTAGAACAGTATTCCAGATTTGACAAGCCGAGTGAGGAATTTTTTCCAACAACAGCTTGCATTTATATAGCACCCTTCAAGTGGGGGAGCATTTTGGAGCGCTTAACAATGGAGATTGATGCCGAGCCGCGGGGGAAGAGGGGAGGTGACTATAGGCACGGTCGAAGAGAAGGGTCTTCAGGTGTGAGTTAGTGCTGCACAATTCCATTTCCTTATTAAGGAAACTGGTTAGAGACTATCTCTGGTTCACCTACAAAATACACAGTCCCTACACTTTAGAATAAGTCCTGTGAAGCTCTATGAGATGTTTCAATGTGATAGGACTCTAAAGAAATTGCAAGGGTTATTATTCTTATTATAATTATTAATATTGTGATTATCCCTCCTCCCACCACACTTTAACCCACTATCCCTTAATTCATAAAGAACTTGGGCGCCATCCTTCTCGATAAGGCTATGAGTTCGCAGAGGTAGTTGCAATTATTTTTCAGAAATTGCACAGCACTTTAACAGAAAAAGACACAAATCCTGGTTTCATTGAAGACACAACCCATCCACATTCAGCAAAACCGCAAACCAACAGAAAAGTGCATCCATCCATTTCACAGAGCAGAGAGACATGAAAACTTGGGACAGCTGCTGTTGGAGCAAAGAAGGTTAAGAGGGGAGCTAATGGAGGTTTTCAAAATGATGGGTGTTTTTTCAATTGTTTTTGACAGCGGGGCTGTTTTGAAGTCTGTTATTGCAGATTATTCCATTCATGCTTGCAGGTATTCACATTGTAATACATTTCTCAAACTATTCTAAAGGAAAATACCGTGTCTCGGCAGCATAATGGACGTGGGAAGAATATTAGCATGAAAACAGCGAGTTCTCCTACCAACGCTGTGAATTTTTTACACAGACCACTGTTTGCACATGAATGAGTTAGTTTTAATTAACCTGTGGCACACTTCATCCCAGAGCACACAATGATGGCAACTCCAGGAGACATGCAAACAAATGTCAGAACTGGCATCAGGTGCCAAAATAGAACAAGTGCGTTGCCTGATTCACTTTTCTCGATGGGAAGAGTTCTATCGAAGTGCCTTTTTTTGTAGCCACAAAGGTAATCTGTAGAGATGTGCACTCCGAGTTCTTGGCACCAGATTTGGAGCTTGTGAAATGTAATTCTTATTTGCAGGCTTGAAACTAAAGATCGAATTGCAGTTCATTATCCTGGAGTAACAGACTCCCTATGCTTTTAGGACACACAAGCTAAATGGAGAAAGCATGCGGAAATGGGATTAAAGATATTAAAAAATTGCCTTGATCTAATTAAATGCTGGCGGAGACTCGAAGACTTGAGGTCGACTCATGTTTCGGTGATGTTCAATTCCTATCATTCTCCAAGTAGATTGCCAGAGAACATTGTTCACTGCTGCAGGCACTGACCCAGAGGTAAAGTTGACGCACTACAGATCGAGATTGCATCCGCATTCAAATACAAGATCTTCACCCTCACATTCAAACCCCACCACCATCTTGTCTTACCGTACCTCTGCCATCTCTGCAACCCTAACAACCCTTCCACTCAGCGAACAACTCAAATTAAGTAACCTTTCAATAAATACTTTAACATTCGTGATGTTTCCATCAATCCACTTTATGAAGTCATTCAGTTAAAATCATTGCACACCAGAACCAAATGTTGAGGCAACAATAATGTATGTTACATTTTTGAATGGTCAAAAAAAAAACAACAGAAACATAGTTATTTTTAAATAAAGTCCAAGTCCTCAAAAATCTTGCTTAATATTTTTGATTGTCTGTGCAGCTCTTTTAACATTCTGCCTTACAACATTTCATAATCAACTTCTACACAGCCTCAAACCCATCTTCTGTGCCCGACGTACATTTGCAGAAAGCAATGTGCAAAAATACTTAGAGATAAGAAAAGGAAAAGCTGGGAATCTGAAATGAAAACAGAAATTGCTGCAAATGTCCAGGGGTAAATATGAAAAGCTGTTTCACCTGCTGTGCATTTCAGTTGATAGAGAGGAATAAAGATCTCCGACAGTGTGTCATTGCAGAGCGAGCTTGATCAAATAGATTGGGGTGGGGGGGTATTCCTTACGCACATCATTGAGAAATGTCTCACAGTGTGAGTTAGTGTCTGAAGAGCAGTGCTTCTCAAACAATCAAGGCAGCTTGGCTTATGTTCGTGCTGTCAGAATTCTCTATTTGATGGTGTCAGATCAAATTTAGACTGCCCTCGGCATCATTAGCAGACAAACCAAACGTGGAAAGCTTAACAATGAATAATAATACTACAAATTAAAGCACTTCAAGAGGTTCATCTCTCTGACCCCCATTCTAAGTTGTTTGAAAGTTTTTTTTTGGGTGGGGAGCGGGGGGAAAGAGCACCCAAATTAAAATATTCTAGTGTAACTTGCGATGGGTTCTTGCCGGTCATCGAACAAAGCCCAGATATCACAAATACTTTGTATAAAACAAATGTAACAAAGTTTGTCACGGGTTTAACTTACCAGTAGGAGATGCCTCGAGCACGTGACCCACATACGGTCCTTCCCTGAACATGGGTTTGTTATCGTTCTGATCGATAATAGTGATATACAGGGTGGCTGGTCCATCAATGATTTTGCCATCTGGGTCAGTAGTTTCGACTTGCAGCTGTTTGAAGCAGAGACGGATTGAATGAGTTGGATCATTACAGTGACAAAAGCATGTGCCAAAATTCTTTCATGTCAGCGATTTCCTTTCAAAAAATCCCGGGCTGGGTTAACAAGTTAGTCTCCAAGGAATTTCAACCAGAGAATAGGTAACAATCGAAATGGTTCTTAGTTCACAGAAAATCAATTCACATTTAGATTCCGCTTGACCCATTCGCAATTGGTGGAAAGATATGCTGAAATAATATGGTGTGCAAATAGTGCACAGGGTTACTTTGAGATTCTGCATAATAAGGTTAGCATCCTTTTGGCAATAAGCACAATTGAATTGAAAAACAGATAATATTCACCTTATCAAACATTTCCTTTTCAGTTCCTTTTATCCCAAACCACAATTACTCATGTTAAGATGCTCAGAGGCTTATTTCTGCTCCAAAACATGCAGTGTTGCGTTTTAATCCCCCACTTACATTAGTTTAGTTTCTTTCCCTCCCCCAAGTGCTGTATTCCTTTTCCCAGCAGCAGCCTTACATGAAGACTTTGAAACCACCGACCATTTGAGAATCATAAAACGAGAGAGAAAAAAATCCAGTTTGTTGTATGTCAAGACGTGATAATTCAATTGGATGCTTTAGGCCAGCAAAGCCACTCCAAGGGCTACAGTTTCCACTTAAGTAGGATTTTAATTACACACACGTCACTTTTACAGTCATGTTTAACCTTCCTCCATTTGTGAATGTGTAGATGAAATTTCAGCTCAAATTTCAGGGCACAACAACAACAATAATTTGCATTTATTTAGCCTCTCTCACATTGGCAAGATGTACCAAGGAGCTGGACAGTCGACCGTTTGCACCCGAGATGGAGATTGTGTTCGGAAGTCATGTTCCTCTTTGTGGTTTTCCTAACTAGTGTGGAGAATCACTTCACTATTTGTTTTATCAAAATAAGACAGGATTGCCTTTCCTGTCCACATCCATGGTTAGAGCAGAGAAGTTTCTTCGATGCACAAATCTCTCTCTNAAAAAAAATGGGAAAACGGAAACAGATGGAAACCATTGAGCCCATTTACCCTGTTCCACTATAAACAAGATGTTTTTGGAATAATAGAGCCCCACTGATCATGCCAATGTAGATCTCGAGGAGTCAATGTCTGAACTATTTGTATTAAGGATACAGTTTTTGTATCATTTGGACCAACTTGGAATAAATAAACCAACATCTAGGTCAAGTCAAAGCCAGTAGTCCCAGTGGAAGTTATCTGCTGGCGACATCTCATAGACAGAATGCAGAGAAATGCAGTTTACTGAGAATAAGTATTGGCAAACAATATAGAGAACACAATGAACATTAATAACATCAAGGCTAAAGCATGATTGCTTTGTACATTTGCAATGTTTCTGCCTCTGAATGCACGTAAAGGGGATTCTAGATATGCAGAACAGACAATGGAAATTCTATTGTGTAAACCTAATAACAAGACAATTTTTGCTTAAAATATACTGTGAGAAATATTCTGGGGCACCACACGTTGTGTCTTTTTACTTTAGTCGTTAAGTCCTCACTGAAAATAATGTTATGATCCGTGGAAGCGTGCTTGGAACTGCAGGATATTTTTATCACTTGCACGGACTATTTTTAATTTTTAAGAGTTGTAAATAAATTCTCTGCACATAAATGCTCCTCAGAGCTCTCGGAGATTATTTATTTTGACATTTTGCAGCCCTATAGACCAAAACAAAAGTCACTTCTAATGAATATTTGAACAGCCATTTCGTTCTGGGCTGTCACAAACTCCTCTGTAGCAATTCACTGCATTGTTTACCCATTATTATATTAGAAACGTCGTAGTGCGGGTCACGCACGATCTTATATCATTAGTAAGAATGTTTGCTCACTTGGGAGTGAATATGATGGACCTCAAGACATCTATGCATCTCCCAAAGCAGAGTACAGTACTTCTATAATAAGCCTGGTGTGTTAAACTCCTCGCATACACACACACACACACAAAGTAGATGAGCTTGGAGTTCACTTTTCAAGATACAGTAGCTTGACTCTCTCTTTTCACTCGTAATTAATGTTAAAATACATATTTGCTACTTTTTATGATCCTCCTAAATGCACACTGACACTTCTAATGTAGACACCGAGGCACAGCACAAAACCACGTCTTTTCCTCGCGGATTAACAATAGTTAGAAAACCTCCCTTTAGGTCAGCCTGCGAGTCCAGGAGGAGTTTTTTTTGATAGGAAATCAAAAAGGGATATAGAATCCGTCAAATACTTTCAGGGGTTACAGTTTTGTGAATGAAAGTTGCATCAGTGAAGTAGATCAGTTGTGGGCTATTTTTTTCTGGCATGGCGTAATTGTTTCAGACTGACCTGACATTAAACTCCCATCAAATACCAAAGGGGGTTGTTGCAATCTCACACAAGGTTTATTGCCTGAGGTGCAACATCATTCTGAGCATCAACTATTTATAGCATTGGAGTAACTTACGATGCATTTTTTTTTTACAAAATCGGCCTGAAAGAAAATCAGTAGCAAAAAGGCGCCAGAGGAAATATTCTCTTTTCTGGGTTCGGGTCGAGGTTTAAAATACAAGTTTAGTTCTCAGCGGGAATCAATAAGTGACAATCGGATTCAGGAAATCGTTTGCAATCGTACTGGGATGAATTGTAGTGCTGGGAGCCGCTGTAAATGACCCACTGACATCGGAAATATTTATTACACTAAGGATTACTTAAGCAGGGACTTTCCACAAAAGAGCCTGTGCAGTTGTGGTGATCGCTGCATAAATGTTGGGATCTGATCTTATTACGATTTTGGTAATCAGAATGAAGAACTCAATAAAAGGCGGATTAACAAAAGAGTATTTTGAGGGAGGGAATCCACATGCCTCCCGCCTCCCAGCTCTTTCAGTCAATAGACCACAAGCCATGAAATTTCCAGCCTATTATTCTTCCCCCCGGCATGATTGCAAGTTAAGATAAGGGAAGATACATTCGGCTAATCTTCACTCTCGCTTTAGAGCAATGCTATGATTGAACGCTGTGCCAACCGAATAGGAGACATGGGCGAAACAGATTGTCAGTCAGAACCCATGCCAATGCCACCTACCTCTCTTGCAGTAGATTGCTAGGTCTACGTTTAATTCAGGATCAAGAGGATTTGCCTCCTTTAAGAGAATCCACAAATTGGACTAATATACTGCGATTTCAAACAGGATTCCTTATTTAAGAAACTGGAAGTGCATCCACACGACTTAGGCTCAAAGAGTCAAGGCTGACACTGCAATGCAGTGTTGGTGGAGCGCTGCACTGTTGGAGGTGCCGTCCTTGTGATGAGACATTAAGGTGCCTGCTCAGGTGGATGTTAAAGATACCATTGGACTATTAGAAAAGAGAAGGGAATTTCTCCCAATATACTGGCCAGTGGAATCCTATAGCTCAATGGTTAGAGCACTCGCCTTGGAAGCAAGAGTTCAATTCCCTGCAGGGCAAAACCTTGGGTAAGTTTCCTTACTCCACACGCCTGATAATAATCCCTCAAGTAAAAAAACCACAATAAATTAGTCACTTCAACCCATGACTGTTTGTGGGACACTGCTGTGCGCAATTGGCTGCCGTGTTTCGCCCACAAATATACAGTCAATTTGTTTTACAGTATAATCTGTGAAGTGTTTTGAAACGTCTAGAAAATGTGAAAAGCGCTATATCAAAGCAAGATTATTACTATTTATTATCAATCACCCCAAATAAAAATTGGTTATCGACTCCGTTGCTGTTTGTGGGACATTACTGTGTGCAAATTGACTGCTGCATTTGCCCACAAAATACAGTCACCACTGTACAGTATATCCTGTGAAGCGCTTTGAAACATCCCAATGCCATGATAGAAAGCTATATATATATATTATAATCCTTGCATTTTGACATAGCGCCTTATCATGTCTTTGAGACGTCTCAAAACACTTCACAGAATAGACTTTAAAGTGAATTGACTATATTTTGTGGGCGAAAAAAAAGCTATATATAATGCAATGATTATTATTATTATAAATCCTGTGAAGTCCTTTGAGATGTCTCAATGACGTAAAAGGCTCTGTTTCAAATGTAAGGATTATATTGCTTTTACTTTAGACTTTTTTTCAACGGAATCTAGTTTCAGAACGCAGTTCCCATGAATCAGCATGACGCATTTCTGGTTACTGAACACAGTCCCCACTTGCTTTCCTTGTTAAAGGACCCAGTTAGAATTGCCACAAATTAGACCCCAAAGGAGAAGTGGCTATTTAGTTTCTTTTGCTACGTAGTCTATTTACGTAATACTGAATATAAATCCAAAATTACTTATTTATACCAATAATTTCAGATCCAATTCCACCTCCATGTTTTAGAAAGATTTGACAAGAAAACAACTTGCAGTTCTAAATAGCGCCTCCAAGATAGGATAATGTCTCAGACTGTTTATTCATTAGTCAATGTGTCATATAGCGTCACTAATTAATAATAATATTCCTTGCATTTGATATAGCGCCTTATCACATCATTGAGACGTCTTAAACCCTATATTGTAAAGTGCATCGACTGTGGATTTTGTGGGCGAAACAGCAGCCAATTGCGTACAGCAGTGACCCACAAACAATCATGGATTGAGTGACCACATTTTTTTTGAGAGATTATTTAACCCCTGAAAGCGATCCGGTAATCAATCGTTTTCAGGGGGTAATAATCCCTTTAAAAACAAAAGGGTTCCTTCTTACTGCTAGATAAATAGAGGTGTGTGGAGCAAAGAAACTTGCCTAAGGTTTCACCCCACCCAGAAATCAACCCTGCGTCTGCGAGGCGAGTGCACTAACCACCACGCTACGGGATTCCACCTGGTGAAATAATTAATTTGCCTCCAAGTCATCGCCAGATTTTTTTGTCGATGAACATAAACCCTTACAGCAGGTCAATGCCAACGAATTTCTTCCACTCTGCACCTGAAAGATT